GACACAGAACATCTTAAATGCATAATGCTGAGTGAAAGAAGCCAATCTGAGAAGCTACAATTCCAACTATATGACAGTCTAGAAAAGGCAAACTATGGTGACAGTAAAAAGACCAGAGGTTGCCAGGGGTCGGTGGGGAGGGAAGAACAAACAGGTGCAGCACAAAGGATTTTTAGGGTGTGAAACTACCATAACAATGGATACATGTTATGATATATTTGTCAAAACCCACAGAAGGAACACTACCAAGAGTGAACCTATGGACTTTTGGTGATAATGATGTGTCAACGTAGGCTTATCCGTTGTAACAAACTTAACACTGGTGGGGATGTTGAGAACAGGGGAGGCTATGCATGTGTGGGGACAAGGAGTATATGGAAAATCTCTGTACCTTGCCCCTCAACTTTATTGTGAACCTAAAAGTACTTAAAAAAATAGTCCTAAAGGAGTAACCGGGTGATAGGGAAAAAAATGAGAGGGAAAAATTGCATAGTCGTCAATTAAACAAAAATGAATGACTATTATTTCTGACAATAGTAAAAGTCTTTTAGTGAAGCTGACAGCCAGAGAAGACAGTTCTGACAAGAGTTTTTCTGTGACACTTTAAAATTCGTGACAGAAGGTATTTGATCACCCGTGTTTTTCTCTATTTGTTAAGCAGGCAAAGTTTTAATAAACAGCTTTGAAAAGCTGGATTTATCTATCTATGTATCTGCCTACAAATGAAAGCAGGGCGTATTTTAATAATTACTAGTTGTAATATTTCTGTCTTGATTCTTTTATCTTGTATTTCAGTGAACTTTCTTAACTGTAATTCTGTCCTTTGTTCAGGGGGAGTAGCAGAATTCCATTACATATCATTGTCTGAATTTCTCTTATGGAGAAGTGGGACTCTGAGAACTGGGCTGAGAGTGAATGAATTTTTTGCACCAGGCCTCTAGTAAATAAATAAAAATCTACCAAATGTGCATCCAAACATATATACTTATACATAGAATACACTAGGAAGGGTAAAAAGAAGCTGGTAATGATGTCTGTCTCTGGAGAAGGAAATTGGGCAGCTATAAAACCCTATCACCTCCTTGAAATATTTGGTACTTTAGTGCTATGTGAATTTTAGAAATTTAAAAAAAGAAAAAAAAACCACATGTATTTAAATTTCAATTCCTCTATTTTTTTTCCAATCAGCTTTTGGTCCTTTCCTTACACATAAAACCCCTTTCCATTGTCAGATTGATATGATTTTTGTTTATTTTGACTTCCTGCCAAAAATGTAGTCTCTCTTATTGCCCTGTTCAGATAACAAATAACTAGAACCTGTTTTCCCACTAAATGTTTCAACACTGACTGTGGTGGAAAACTTTTGCCTTCTTTGCAAAACGTCTCACAATGCTGCTATTAAAGATGTTGTAACTGCCGAGCTTGGCCCTGCTTTCAGTTAGGTGAAGGTTTGTTTATAGAAAACCTTGAATTAAGATTAGGGTTTGTAACAGAACAGTTATCAGTCAAGCATTGGGTCTAGACATTTATTTGAACACTGATCCCTTCCTGGAGGATCATTCAAATAAACACATAGCTTTTCTCAGATTTCAGCTTCATTCTAAATTTCACCAACATAAATGTTATTGATTCTACTGGGAGTAGTCCATTCTCGAATCCACACAAGGGATCGAGACAGTCTTCTCAACAACAGAAAGGACAGGCACAGAGAAAAGGCACAGATCAGATGACTTCCAACCTCTCTCCCAGCCTAACCTATGCATGTAAAATATTTGCTTATGTTGTCTTGGGTTTAGCAAAGCATGGTTTGCAGATTATTCCCATGGTTACATGACAACTGTATGTGTTAATTTATATATGTTGACACTAACTGATGACAGGTGGCTGATGTGCAAAGGCCATGGTATTTAAACAGTTAGGAGGGAAGTGAGGACATGAAGGAGCTAATGAACATTTTAAAGCTGGTCAAGTTCATGATCTGGTGGCATCAATTAACTACCTCAGCACTCGTATAAATGTTTATAACAGTCATGTGAGTTCCTGAGCCCTTATTTACTTAATCAAAGGTTAAGAGCATTAAGAAGTGGGGGGAAAGTGGATGTGAGGTGAGAACTCTGAGAAACCTTAAAATAATTGCTATTACAACATTAGTGGATGGGGACAAATAGACTACTAGACTGAAACTAATTCTGCAATGAGGAGGACAGAGTATTGGGAGAAAGCCAAGCAGAGAGAAGTGTCAGATATGACAGATCAACAAGCTATAGACAATCTTAATAGAATAACAAAGGAAACATGAGTTAGAATTCTGAGAACTATAATTCAAAGCACTGAGAGCAAAAGTTAAACATGCTAAATAAATAAACTACATGTCATCATAATGGTCCGAAACACCAATTCTGAGGATTGCTTATGAGTTATGTAGGAAGCAAAAAATAAGAAAAACAACAAAAACAAAAATGAGAGAGCATCTATAAGAGTACAGCTCAGCAATGGCATTTATATCGATGGGGCCAGTTTAACTCACCTGTGGTGTAGGTGGTTTAAAATTGAGAACATTTTTATACTAAATAAACTCCTTATTCAATTTGATACAAAAATAGACTATGAATCAAAAGAAATATTTTCCTTATATATTTAGTCTTTTTTTATACTGATCATTGATTCATCACAGGGACAAATTTTTGGTAAAATGTGCTTACTTTGAAATAATCACATCTTAGCCACATATGCTTTTATACATATTAAATATTTTATATGCAAGTTAAAAGAGAAAGAAATAAAGGGAAAATACAGACAATTATTTTATGTTTTTGTTTTTATGATAGCAGATAATGAAGATGAAAAAGATCCAATAGGGAGGGTAAAGGCCATGATGCAGGGGAGAAAGGACACTGCAGGCATGAAATCCTAGAGCAGCGGTTCTCAACCTGTGGGTCGCGACCTCTTTGGGGGTCGAATGACCCTTTCACAGGGGTCGCCTAAGACCATTGGAAAACACATATATAATTACATATTGTTTTTGTGATTAATCACTATGTTTTAATTATGTTCAATTTGTAACAATGAAATTGGGGGTCACCACAACATGAGGAACTGTATTCAAGGGTCTCGGCATTAGGAAGGTTGAGAACCACTGTCCTAGAAGAAGCCCGAGGGGAAAGGTCCACTGGGTTAGGAGAGAGGTTATCCTTAATGAGAAGCAGGAACCACTAGCCAAGTTATGTGGGTAGAGATTCAGGTAGGTGGGTAGATTTGGTGCTGAGGGTGTGTGCATTTGCTGATTGTGTCTATTTTCTCAATGAAATGATGGGAAAGGATGTTAGCTGAGAGTTAGGAGACAAGAGAGAGCGAGGTATGAGGAGAAAGAAGAAGATGTGAAAGAATCCTTTCAGAGACGTACCAGAGGCCTCACTTGAAGAAAATGGCCATGAATTTTAAGAGATTGGTTCAAACGTGTGGGTAATAATGTGAAGTAGGCAGAAAAAATGACCTTCATGAAGTGTTTTTCAGACATGTAAATGTAAAGAGAAAGACAAAAGGGAATTGAGTTTCTCAGCCAGGAGTAATTATAATGAAGGACTCAGGGAAACTAAACCAAGTGTGAGCTTGATCAACAGTGAAAAGGTAGGTGGTGGTCAGATCAATAGCTTGGAGATCCTGGAGGCATCAAAAATTTTTCAGAGAGTTCCAGTGGGAGTGGGCTGTGAGCGAGGATGTGAGGGTTGGAAAACAGTAAGCCTGAAATTCAGAAGATGAGTTATTGGTAATGGCAGTTCTAGGGTATGTCCTCAGAGTGAGATAGGTTCGAGGAAAGATGACTGGGCATGAGCAAGGCAAGGAACTGAGTGAGAGGCTTGGAGGCTATGTGGACCACTTGCCTGAATATTAAAATCAACTAAAATTTATGTCTGCATTATTGGGGAGGGGGAGAAAAGAGGGGAGGGGAAAGAGGAGAGGAGAGGAGAAGAGTGAAGAAGAGGGGAGGGGAGAGAACAGTGGGCTACGTTCTAAATTTTTCAAAGAACAGAAGTGACTGGTGGGACTGCAACATAGGGAGGGTAGGTAGTAGTAGAGTCTGATGCCATGTACATTTAAAATTAGTATTTTAAGAGATATATAAATGAAAACATTGTTGATAAGCATTAATATCTGCCAGAATAGAAGTTACATCACATGCAGCTAGTTTAAATTAAATAAAAGACAACACACCAAAAATTATTTGATATACTTAGCAGTGGAACTAGAGAGCAAATTTTTATCATGACTTTGAATGTTATTCCACTCTTACGGAACCAGTAAGAAATTTCCAGCCATAGCCAGTTTGGCTCAATGGATAGAGCGTCAGCCTGCAGACCCAAGGGTCCGGGTTTGATTCCGGTCAAGGGCAAGCAGGTATAGAAGTTGCATACCAATCGATATGTTTCTCTCACATCCATGTTTCTCTGTGTCTTTCCCCCTCTCTTTCCACTATCTCTAAAAATCAATGGAAAAATATCCTTGAGTGAGGAAAAGAAAAGAAAAGAAAAGAAAAGAAAGAAAGAAAGAAAGAAAGAAAGAAAGAAAGAAAGAAAGAAAGGAAGGAAGGAAGGAAGGAAGGAAGGAAGGAAGGAAGGAAGGAAGGAAGGAAGGAAGGAAGAAAGAAAGAAAGAAAGAAAGAAAGAAAGAAAGAAAGAAAGAAAGAAAGAAAGAAAGAAAGAAAAGAAAAGAAATTTCTAAGTTCAGGTGTCCCTCTACTGACACAAGAAGTGAGTCTGATGATACCGTACGCCTACCTAAACCTGGGGACCCAGGAAAAAGGCCCATCTACCCAAACCTGGGGACCCAAGGAAAAGGCCCATCTACCCAAACCTGGGGACCCAGGGGAAAAGGCCCGTCACCCTCCCCACCCCACCCCCCTCACTGCAGCAGAAGCTACCACTGATAAAGGTGGGTGCTTTGATTTCCTGGAGCTGGTGATCCTATTTAGGACGGCCGGTGGGGTTCAAAGTTGCATTTACCTGTTTATTTCTCAAGGGCTGAACCACTTCCTTAATGCACAGCTCTAGATCCTTGAGATAGTCCCTTTCCGTCTGTACCAGCTCCTCGATGATTTTGGAACGCCTCGCCATCATCCTCCGCGTCTGCTGCTCCTCCTCCTCCTCCTGCGTCAGGGTCTCCGCCGCACACCCGGCCTGTGGACTCATCTTTTCTGTTCAGTGGAAACATGTACATGTGAGGCATTCTGCGGGGGTTTCTTGTTCCCTCACCACAAACAAACCACTGCAGGCATATTGTTAGCAAGGAAAAATGCTTAGGTGTCGTCAAGGTGTGTTCTTAGAAAGTGATGTGTGCTGGTTCCCCCTAAAGTCAGAATCCTAGGAACATGTGAGCATGAAGGGATGTGAGAATGGACTACTTTTGATAAAGTAGTTAAATGATTTTCAACTGCCATAGTTTGTCTTTAAAATATCTCATTGCTACTATATATGGTATAAAATAGTCTTCAGGCTAGAGGTAAAATGTATAAAAACACAGTTCAGAGCTGTTTCTGGACACATGTGCTTTATTTAAAATTTATTTTTAATTATTGTTGGCATGTAATATTATATTAGTTTCAGGTGTACTGATAACACAGTGATTAGATGTAAATATACCTTGCAAGGTGATTGTCTCAATAAGTCAAGTAACCATGTTACAATAGTTACTATGATATTATTAACTACTAGAGGCCTGGTGCATGAGATTCGTGCATGGGGGTGACGGGGTGTCCCTCAGCCTGGCCTGCACCCTATCCAATCCAGGATCACTCTTATAATCTGGGACCACTGGCTCCTAACCACTCACATGCCTGCCTGCTTGATCGCCCCTAACCCCTCTGCCTGCCTGCCTGATTGCCCCTAACCACCTCTGCCTGCCTGCCAGATCACCCCTAACCACTTGCCTGCCTACCTGATCACCCTTAACTGTTTGCTGGGGGGCAAGGCCAGCCCTGCAAGGGGCCTTCTGCCTACCTGATCACCCCTAACCACTGGCCTGCCTACCTGATCACCCCTAACCGCTGGTCTGTCTACCTGATCATTCCTAACCACTCTGCCTGCCTGCAGAATCGCCCCTAACCGCTTGCTGGGGGGTGGGGCCAGCCCAGCGAGGGACCGTGGTGGATCTGGTCTAACGGTCGTTATGATCATGATGCCGTTATGGTCTCTGGCCTTTTATTATATAGGATACTAGAGGCCCGATGCATGAAATTCATGCAAGGGTAGGCCTTCAAAGCCCTGGCTGCCTAGTGACCCCAGCTACCTCGCAGCTCTGCCCCTGCCCACACCTGCCTTGGCCTAGTGCAGCCCACATCTGCCGCCAGACACCCCCAGTTTCCCAGTTCCACGGAGCCCCCTGATAGATCACCGCGCAGAGGGTGGCCTGGGCCTCTCTCTTCGGGGTAATCGCGGATCCCTTCCCATCAATCACCCCACAGAGGGTGGCCTGGGCCTCCCTTTATGGGGCAATTGTGGGGTGATGACAGGCCCCCCAACCAATCACATTGCACCCGCCTTGGCTGGCCTGGCGCCAGTGCGTGTCATAGTGTGTCGTCCAGAAGGTCATCCAGACATTCATTCTGCTGTTCGGTTGTTCAGTCGATTTGCATATTACACTTTTATTTTTATAGATTCCTTACCTTGTACATTACATCTGTGACTTATTGTATAATGGCAGTTTGTACTTCCTTAAGCCCCTTCACCTTTTGCCAACTCCAAACCCTTCCCATTTCTAACCCGCTAAACCATCAGTTTTTTCTCTGTATCTGAGTTTGTTTTTGTTTTGTTTATTTTTTTAGATTCCATGTATAAATGAAATTATACAGTATTTGTCTTTCTCTACCTGATTTATTTCACTTAGTATAATACCTTCTAAGTCCATCCATATTGACACAAATGGCAATATTTCATTCTTTTTTATGGCTGAGTAACAGTTTGTTATATATAGTATCATTTTTATCCATTCATCTGTCAATGGACAGCTAGATTGCTTCCATAGCTTGGCTGTTGTAAATAATACTGCAATATATCTAGGAATGCTATATCTTTTCAAATTAGTATTTTCTATTTCTTTGAATAAACTCCAAGAAGTGGGATTGCTAGATCATATGGTAGTTCTATTTTTAATTTTTTGAGGAACCTACATACTGTTTTCCATAGTGGTTGCACCAGTTTACAATCCCACCAACAGGGCACCAGGGTTCTCTATTCTCCACATCCTCACCAACATTTATTCTTTGGGGTTTTCTTTTATATATATATATATATATATATATATATATATATATATATATATATATATGATAGTAATTCTGACAGGTGTAAAGTCGTATCTCCTTATGGTTTTAATTTGTATTTTCCTGATGATTAATGATGTTGAGCATCTTTTCATGTGTCTGTTGACCAGCTGTATGTCCTCTTTGGAGAAATGTCTACTCAGGTCCTCTGCCCATTATTTAAAGATTTTGTTTGCATTCTTTGATATTGAGTTGTGTGAGTTCTGAATATATTTTGGATTTTAACTCATTACCAGATATATCATTTGCAAATATCTTCTGCCATTCAATAGATTGTTTTGTCATTTTGTTGACAGTTTCTCTCATGGTACAAAGCTTTTTAGTTGAATATAGTCTCATTTGTTTATTTTTGCGTTTGTTGCCTTTGCCCTAAGAAACATATCCAAAAAATATTGGAAGACCAATATCAAAGAGTTTACTGCCTATGTTTTCTTCTACAAGTTTTATGGTTTTAGGTCTTATATTTCTTTAATCCATTTTGAGTTTTTGTTGTTGTTTTTTTTGTATATGGTATAAGAAAGTGGTCTAGTTTCTTTTTTTTCTTTTTTTCTTTTTCTTTTGCATGTATCTTGGACACATTTGTTTTTAAATCAAGAGAGAATTTTTAACTGGTAAGTGGAACACCTTCCACTTTTGTTTGTTGCGATTATTATTAAAACTAATTGCTCCCAAATATAAATGGATAATATGCAAACTTTACTAAAATGGAAAACAATTGCACATGAGTGGGATTTTTCTTTCAATTCACAATCAGAATCCATGAGAGTGAGATAGTGGTGGATTAAATAAATATAGCTAAGATTTTTTTGTATGGCTTTTCTTCAATATGATGTTATCTCAAAATTCTTGAACTGCAAAACAGAACATTTTAATTAAAAAATGACTGAAGGGCTATTGCAATTAATGGGCAGCCTCACATATACCCAAGGTTTTATATAAACTACAATGTAAGAAAGTAAATATTTTCAAGGATGTGCTCCACACAGTAACATAAAATTTTGGAAGCCACAAACTAGATTATAAATGAAATCAGAGCAAGGATAGAAAGTAGGGCAGGTGTGTGTGTGTGTGTGTGTGTGTGTGTGTGTGTAAATGAATTTGCTTCAAGCTCGAGGTCATCACAAACTTAATTTTTTATCTTAGTCTCTGCAGTCTCTGCAGAAGTAATTTCATTTCTTTTCAAGCTAATGCGATTTTAATAACTGATACGTTAGACATCTTTGATGCTGACACCACTTCCTGAGGATGTAGAGCTTTGCCAAAGGCTTCACACAGACTCAGGATGGAAAAACAAAAGTGCACAGGTCACGATGTATGGGAAGAGAGGATATTGTCTTGGATGACTGCAGAAATGAAGCTAAGAAAACTGGAGAAAATTTATAGTAGATGAGTTAATAGTTCCATGCAAAAGGACTGTCCGCAGATGCGAAGAGACACTCCAAAAGTCGCGAATACACCTCTCTTTCTGGCCCACTAATTTCAGGTGTTCTGGCAGTAGCTCCATAATCAAGCATCTGTGGAGAATGCTGTGAAGGTAATTCCAGCGGTCGTTGGCAGCTGCACTAGTTGATCTTTGGCCAATCCTGACTTTCAGGTAAATACGCTTCTGGACCATTTGCCTGGTAGCTATCTTTCTTCATCAGGAAAGAAAATGGATTTGACAGATGCTATCTGAGTTTTACAAGACTTGGGCCATTCAGTGCCAGAGAAATAATCTGCCTGAGCTCTAAAAGAAGAGAGAATCTATACAAAGAGAGAAAATGAATGCATGAGGAGTTCTGCAGCCTGTGTATCTTACGTTATGTTATGAGCATTTTTGGATGCTTGCTAATTCATAGTATTTTTATTGGAGAATAGAAGAAGCCTGCCTCTCAGCACCCCAAATTTGAAAGAAAAAGTTATAGTCAGGTGTTATTATTATTAATTATTTTGAATATAACAGAGGAAGGCAGGTCACTGGAGAGGGGATCTGCAGTGAGCAGGCTGTATACATCACATGACCTCCTCTGTGAGCCTCCTTTTGTCTGTTTCTTCTAAAAGGGTGGAGGTTGGCTAACACCTGGAGATCTGGTACTCATTAAGGCTTTACCTACTCTCTCCACCACTATGAAACCACGATGGGAGGGTCCCTATCCCATAATTGTATCCACCTCCACTGCAATCAAGGTCAGTGGAGTCGACTCCTGGATATATCTATCTCAAGTAAAGCTTTGGACACCAGCCCAGGAGGACGATGAAGCTGTATTACCCTCAACTGAATCACCAGATTCCTATTCGTGTGAGCCTCTAGAGCAGTGGTTCTCAACCTTCTGGCCCTTTAAATACAGTTCCTCATGTTGTGACCCAACCATAAAATTATTTTCATTCCTACTCCATAACTGTAATGTTGCTATTGTTATGAATCGTAATGGAAATATCTGATATGCAGGATGGTCTTAGGCGACCCCTGTGAAAGGGTCGTTTGACCGCCAAAGGGGTCGTGACCCACAGGTTGAGAACCGCTGCTCTAGAGCAATGGTTCTCAACCTTGGCTGCACATTAGAATCACCTGGGAATCTTTTTAAAATCCTGATTTCTGGGCCTCACTCTCCGGAAATTCTGTTTCTTTGTTACTAATGTTGTGGCCCCACCTTATAACAAAGAAACAGAATTTCCCGAGGATGAGGCCCAGAAATCAGGATTTTTAAAGATTCCCAGGTGATTCTATGTGCAGCCAAGGT